TCAGACTCATTTTACAAAGGGATGACAGTGGTTAGCAAGCTATGTGCAAAATCTTTAGACTACAGCATTTAAACTTACCTTTTAATTTTCTTTAAATTAAAATAAAACCGCGTTTTAAATTAGACTAAATTTTGGAACTGTTTGCTAGTTTTTTAAAATGATGAAACATCTCATATTCTTTATTTTACTTAAACCTCTGCCATTGAATGAAGTCTTTTTAATTGTAAAATTCAGGTTTTGTTTCTTCCTTAACATTTATTCTGAAGGATAGATTTTTCTCTCCTGTTATTAAATCTGAAATGTGAAATTGTCTTGATATTATCAGAGAAGACTAAATTCACTTTCCTGTATTAGAACTAATTTCTTGCAATGACACATCTTCATTTCGACTTGAAAATGAAAATTCTGAATGACAAGTTTGTTATGCAGTATTTCTGTTTTCAAGACTACAATAACAAATTAGTTGATCTATTAACTTGAAAATTCAGCATAATACCAGAGATGACTTTCCTTACCTAACTTACAGTACTACAATTCTAGGACTTTTTAAGAGTTAAATTTTCCTCTTCTCTTTCCTGTATTCACACTCATTCCCATCTGTTCCATACTTCCTTACACAACCCATCAAAACAAATTATTTTTGTATTACAGGTAAAAGAACTGAGTAAACTAAGAATCTCCCTCCCTATCCCCCAAATTTGGGAAGAAAAGTTGTTAAAAAGCTATACACAGTTGAATACCTGAAAAGCCATCCCTGCCCTGAGGGGTATATTTGAAGTGGATTTAGAGGTATATATTCAGTATTTCAAAGATCCGAAAGGTCTACAGAGAAATCAAGTATCAGCCTTATTCATTACATTCTTGTGCTATTCCCTCTAATAGCATGAATCACTCAGATTCTAACCAATATCGATCTCCTCTTTTACACTACACATTTATTTCTCTCCCAAAGTCAAAAAACACAGTGAATGTGTAGCTATGACTTGCTTCCAGTGTAACTTTTAAGTTATATCACAGGGACTAGACAGCTACTCTGGAGACAATGACATTCAAAATGAAAAAGAATGGTAAAGACTGAAAGATATATTCTCTTCTTTTCTCTCCTAAAATCTGCTGCTCTCCAATTCCTGACATATGAATTATGAAACATGGAAACATGGAAGAAATGCAAAGGAAATGCAACTTGGATTAAAAATGTTAGTTTGCAGCACTACAGCACAAGTTATTCTAAGTTTCCTCAGGAGGGTCTTCATTCTCCTGAATGGTGAACAGAAGGATGGTATCTGACCACCTATCAGCTCACACTGCTCTTACTAGTCCCTTTTTCAGTACTCACAGTCACGTTTTAAGTAGCATAGTTTTCATCTGGGAATGCAAAGTCTCACATTTGCTCTTGTAGCTGGAAGCTCGGTTCTGTGGATTCAACTGCTTGGGACAAAGGCATTTGTTTCTGCTTAGTGGAATTTCTTCATTGCACACATGCACATAGACACAGAGATAAGCAGTCTGCCTGAATACTGTTAGACATTGATCTTAGGAAGTTTTCAAGAAAGCCTCCCCAAATAATTCATGACTGTAGAAAAAAAGTCACTGTGGTTTTAACTTCTTTACAGATACCTTTTTAAATACGAAACTGCTTTTGGAATTGTCTTTTAGGGAGAGCAAGCTGTGAAACATTGAAGACTGATCCCAAATAAAACAACAGAGAACCAGTTCAATAATGCCAGTACCATGGAAAATATTTAAAATTACAAAATGTTTGTTTCTTATCTCTATCACAACCTAATTTTTCCAAGATCTGTGTTTTGCCTTATTCCTTGTTCCTATAAAAGTCTCATAATCATTACTAATACACATTAGTTTTATACACAGTTCTAGTCTCCAAACTATATTTTCTTACAGAAAAGAAGTAACGATTGAGAAACGGAGATATGTTTGATATTAAAATATAAAGATGACTTGTTGTCCTAACTTTTGGTGTATAACAGATGATAGCAGTAAAATTATCCACAGTCTTGACAGTCATTTCCTGATAAGAATGAGAAACCTTACTATATTCATTGCAGGCCTATCCTATTCTTGTCCTCAGTGTACATTTCCATGACAATGACTGCAATCATTATAACAGCATTGTACATAATGACTCTGCTTTCTGTGATGATGCTTCTAAAATGAGTGTGAAAAATGTGAAAGGACAGATATCAAATGGCAAAACACTCACCAGTGAAGCAGAGTAGTCTACAAAATTAATAATTGACAGAATTGATAGGGTGCTGCCACTGAATGGAAGACTAGAATTAAAGGGCAACACTCACATTGCCTTCTTTCATAATCTGAGGGGTTTTTAAAGAAAATCTCTTATTCAATTAGTCAGGTCAAATGAGGCCTTGTGAGGTATGTATAATTAAATGTAACATCAACTAAACATCTATTTTTCAAAATGAAAAGCAACCGATGCACAATGATTACTACTCAATCTTCATTACTAACATAACATCAGTCTCACCTAGTCATTTCTTTTTTTCCAAATTAAAAGTAAATGAAGTAATGTGATTGATATTTGCAGTAACTCAGATCATCAGAACCATCACAACTTTATTTACCAAATATAAAGTAGAGTAATAGACCTTCTAAGTCCCACAAAGCTTCTGCAAAAATGAGTTTACAGGTGTTGTGATGTACCCAGTATAGAAAACTATGTACAGCATAGGGAATTCTTACAGGAAAAGGAAGAAAAATATTGGTAAGTATAGAGGAAGAAATGTCCTCAGATAAGGAATGTGCTTCTGACTACGAGGGATTAAACACGGTCCTATTTATTGATCTTTTTAAATGTAGCATTAATATAGAGGTCAGAGGACAAAAGAATATTTCCAACATTATTATAGCAACATAAAATTGAAAGGGATCATTCTATAGGTCACCAAATCCTCATATAGGTGTCTACTCTTTCATGCAATCATCTTTGAGAATGCTATCATAAAGACAAGGATGCTTTATTTTGAAATCCTTTCAGATCCTGTCCACTCTTCCTATTAACAGCCTCTTTGAGAATCTCACTCTCTTATTTCCATCCTAAATAAACTCATTGTGAAACAGATGCAGAAACAAGCTGAATCAACTTAAATAGGTCTCTTTCCCCTGTGGTTTCCTCTGAAGTGTATTTACAAAATATACACATAGTCTCTGTTATTATTTTTGATGGCAATTATCCAATCATGTTTTACTTTCCATTATCACTTCCAACCACAGTGTTGAATTTTCTGCATGTAGCTTCACAGGTAAATTCTTTTTTTTTTAATTATTATTATTTTTTTTTAACAAAATTAAAGGCAGCAGTAAACATGTTAGCATTATTTTGTACAGCTGCTTTAATACTACATTGTCCCTGTTTTCCCCATCCCAGCTTTTGCAGCTTCAAATCATGTCCACCTTATTTAATGTATAACAGTAGAATCTATAACTGATCTGACAACCAGATTTTTCTCTTTCTCTGTCCCTTACACTTGATGAATCAACAGTGTACAGCTGTTGAAACTCATGATCTTGTTCTACATGAGCATTATTAGACTGTATTCTTGATGTTTACCCTTTATCTTGCTGTACCAATATTCTTCATGCTATCTGGCTCTACCAGATAATCTTTAGATTCTCCTGCAAAGACCCACACTGGCAACACGTTTATGGAATATTTCTTCTATTCCAAACTCATACATGAAAATGTTAATCAGACTAACATGGTCTCTGGAGGAATATTCCCTCATCAGTTCACCTACCTTATAAACTTTTAATTCAATGTAACAAAGTATTTCCATTTAGAAACGTCATTCCCCAATCTACATTTCCCGCACAAATCCTAAAGATTTCCAGTGTGCCAAGTACTTGGCATTTTACTAAGGCTGATCTAAAAAAACAGGGTATTTTTCTGATTTTTTGTGTTGACAGTATATTTATATGCAAATGCTCCAGTTGCTATTTTGGGTAAGATGATACTGTTCAAATTTGAAAGCCTTGGCTACCAGACATCTGTGATTTCAGGAGCTACTGGTTTCCTTGGATATTTTGTATATTCTAAAATATAATTTTAAAGACTTACATCTTCAGGTCAAAATGAAGGCAAAACGAAATAGTTCATTTACCATGCTTTACTCCCATTAACCATCTTTCTTTACCACTCACATTTAACATACTTCTCCAATTTCATTACAGAAATAAAGATTCTTCTAGGTTACATAAGAAGAAATTCTATCATTATGCTGACAGTATTCATGGGGAAAAAACTCCATCTGTCATGTGTCTTGCAATAAAGCTACACAGAATGATTTCTGTGCTTTTTTTTTAATGTAAATTTAAAACAGAAATTATACAGACAATATTACACATAATAAACTAGAATTCTGTTGGATAGCCTACAACTGCATCACCATGAACCTTATGCCTGAAACTCACCATGTAAATAAAAACATAAATATAGGGCCTCCTGTTTCTACAGGCTTCTTATGTGTTATAGCAAGTAACATACCACCTGCATCTCATTATAAGAATGCTACAGAGAGCTCTCCCTTAAGGAGTCCTTTTCCAACTTACGCTTACATATCTGAATTAATATGTTCTTGAATCTAGATTGTATTTATTATATTTCCCGATATAGAACTGAACCTTATTTTTAAATACTCCAGAAAAGGATTTAGCACTGACATATTTAAATATTATTCACTTAGGGGTCTACAAAATCCGATGGAAGCCACATTTACTGCATGTACAGCTGAGCTCAGAATAAATACTCTAACTTCATCCTATTTGCTTTTATTGATATTTTTGCTTATAATACACAAAGAAAGCATACTTAGGGAACTGGTAAGCTCACTGTGCTTGTATATAACAACCTGAGAGGTGCCCACCATTAAAATGAAGTTACATCTAACGAGATATCTGATTTTCCTCTATCAGTGCCACGTTTCAGGAGATGGAAAAATAAAAACGAAAAGATAATACCTTACCTTTCCTACATACTGAGGATCTGGTCCCATGTGTTCTTCTAAAACAAAGAACTGATTCCATACCCATCCACGCTTGGGACGATGATGTACTTCTGTTTCACCTTCTGTATGCCTGGTTTGATTTCTAGTCACCTTGATGGAGCCATGATGAGCAGCTCCATAACACCTCTGCACAAAACAGAGACAAACTAGGACTGGGCAGATACAAGATGTACTTGTAATTCTCATTGTAGGATAGGGTTCCTGTTCAAGGTTTTCTTTCTCTTGTCTTTTTCAGCTGTAATCCTTTAAAAAGTTCTCGAGATGGAAGGTGAAGCCTGGTTCAGAAACACAGTCCAAAAAGGGTTTTTCTGCTTGTTCATGGTTTAGCTGCCCATTGGGGGAAGCTCAAACTATATTTACATTATGAAAAGCTGACTGGAAAAACTGATATTTCTTCTGAGGTCTTCACCATAGAGCTCCACAGACGACCATTTTCTATCTAATAGGGAAAGAAAAGAAAGCCACTTACTCATCACTACAACCAGTAGTTTTCAGTTTTTGACCTTAGATTACACTCACAGCTTTATTAACCAGTCTCTCAAAGACTCTCACTGTAGCTAAAATTTCAGTCCTTTCTGTAAAAGTGCTTTTTGATTGTTTTTATTAAAATATCTTAAGAATTAGCATGTTTTTTTCCAAGCTATGAAGAACATATGCTTCATTAAAAATTCAGTGACCTGGGCAAGTTAAATTGGTGATTACCTGCAAATAAATCACTGATCTGATCTGGCAGTTAAATAAAATCATTCCTACAGTGTCATTAGATAGATGCTAGATAGATAAGGAATGAAAATTCATTTCTGATAAGTTCTTGATCTTCCATACACTGCACAGAGTTCCAACATTGTAAAAAAAACAATAGCTATCATGGCTTTCAAAGGAAAATCTCCAAAATGGGCTTTGAGGTTTCTCAATGAGTATTAGAGCATACTGAAAGAGACTTTCAATCAAAATGTGAATCTTTACTCTAGTGTTTACTTAAATTCCAACCAATACCATTGTGGCATTTCATAAAATTAGATAGTATTGACAGAAAATTCAGATATTGCTGTTTAAATGGTTATTTTTATAGAAGGACCAAAATTCCCAGTGACAATATATTCTCAGCTTCAAAAGAAAAATATGATCTTGTTGCACACAATGGTAAAATATGAAAATTTACACAGAAGTTAATGTTGTATATAAAGCAAAATACCTAGGGAAAAAAAAAAAAAAAAAGTTTTAACCTCAGAGGAATAATTACTCTGAGCGAACAGTTCGATCTCTTATCTGAATGTACCAAGAATCAATCAAGGTAGGAGACTCCAACCATGTAAATAAATCTACTCCCACCAAAAAAATTAGAACTGTTTTTGGGTTTGTTTAGGTACCATAAAGTTATTAAAATCTATATGAACTTGCCAACAGAAAGAAACAGGATTTTTTTTTCTCCACAATAATGGAAGAGGACTTGAAGACTTTGCTGTGCAATAGAAATACCCTTAGTGACATATTTTCTGTTGCCATTATTCATTTTATTACAAAGGATTATAATGAAGTAAGGGAAAGACCACCAGTCACCTATGTCTGGCGAGGAGTCAAAAAAAGAAACTCAGTACAGTATTTTCTACTGGAGAAAGGAATTTTTAGTGTTCAGTTTTACCCTTCTTTCCATTTCTATATCAATGTAATCACTCATCAACCTCAAGAAAGACCAAGCCGCTGATCTCTCAAAAGCCTTGCGTCTCATTTCAGAACAGTTTTCATGCATCAATAATGTATTGTTACCTTCTTTACACAGAAATGTGACTTAATAGGAACTTTTCACAGCTAAATGTTGTATGAAGTCATACCAGAGAACAAATCCAGAGATTCCAAGTCACATTTGTTTCTAACTGTAACTTGCTCCTTGATTTCCTCCCCTTTTTGCATTTTTTCCTTTATTCATGCTAGAAATCAGTTTTGTCTTGAAGAATGAAGTTTCCTCCTAAAGATTCCTATAATTGCAGATGGGCTTCTTAAATAAATACTTAAGTCATTGTTATATTTCAGGTGTACATTAAATTAAATGGTACCTTACAAAACAGTAAGGCTACTATTTTATTTATTCAAGTACTATTATTCTTCCTTTTCTCTCCATCTTGGGAAATGCCTGGGAGCCATTTATAAGACTATCACCAGTGCATAATAATGCAAAAAATTGTATATAAGGTGCATTGAGATTTCTTAGATGGCACATTTAAAATGTATTTAAAAATCATTGCTACTAAACTTTCCTTCATAAAAACTGTTAAGATGATACTAGTGGAAAACTCATACTTTCTAAAAGAATAAATATATATGAGTGCAGAATATAGCAATAAATCACGATTTACTACACAGATCTTTGTTTCTCACTCTTCTCAAAAGTCATCTACAGAGTAAATTCAAAAACGCCAAGATGGATCATTTAAACTGTGTTATTTACACAATCAAAACAAATAATAATAATTTTTAAAAGTGACAAAATTCAAAGGGCTTCTTCATCTCTTAAATGTCTGCTCTGCTTAGGTGTAACGGTAAGCAGAAGAAAATGAATTAAGTGGATTTACTTTGTTTCAAAAACACTATGTTATTTAATTCCATTCTGAGGTTATTAGTTAAAAAACACACCAAAAATTGAAGGCTTATTTTTTTTTAAATTCTCATATATTTTAAAATTAGAGAGAGAGAGAAAGAAAAAAAAAGATGACAATGGAGTCTGCTTCCTGTTATAAACAGGAATTCAGGCTTCTAGAGTTACTGAATTGTATTTTAAGCCTGGAGAATCATTTCCACATGAGAACTTCGACAATTAAAGGAAGAAGGATATGTAGTGAAGGTTCTTCGAAGTGTTTTGGCTCTTGTAAACTTATATTAAAACTAAAGCCTGATTAATGCTCAGTATAAAACTATTCTGAGTTACTCAGCATCCTTCTATTAAAGGTTTACTAGAAACATTCATTTAAAAACAAATAAACAAAACAAAACAATTTGCCATGAGGACAGCAAAGCTAGTCTACAGGGGCAAGTACAGATGGGAAGATCTGAAATGGATAACAAGGAGATAGGAAATATACAAAATGTGTGCAATTGTAAAAGGATTGAACTTTTTGAAATGCCTTCATTTGTTGCCTTACACTCTCATACTGAGATTCTGACTGCTCAGGGCTCGTCTGTAGCTTAAGTGTCCTGCTTTATGGATTTTTTTTATAATGATGCATGCAGCTGCAAAGCAGTATTCTGTTATTGCTGTCTCCTGGGAGCCCCTAATGAAAATGAGCTGTGTATCTCAAGGGACTGTCAGAATGAGTTAAAATTAAAATAAATAAATAAATAAGATGAGGTGGGAGAGTCCCACCAGCACTACTGAATATCATTACGGAAGAGTAGTTACTGCTTAGCATGGCAGCAAGCCTCAGTAATGAACTCCCAGGAAACCAGTAAAAGCGTAGTGATACAAAATGTGTATGCACCATGAGGAGGAGATGCATCCTTAATAGTGGAGACTTGTCCTGAATCTCAGTGTTTCCTACCTCTCATAATCAAATTGATCATATATCTGTATTCATCTGAATAATTCACCTTTGTAAATGCACATGCAGGGCAGCTCCACATTATTTATTTATTTATTTTACATCCCTCAGGAACCCTTTTCAGCCCCACTGTGATGCAGTTACAATAAGTTACGGTACTTGTAATTAACTGCACTTCTCATTTACTTTCTGAATTCCCCCTTTGCACTCTGCCCTATAGGCTTCTTCCCTTCCAGAAAAAATTCTGACATTATCAAAATCTGACCAACTTCAATAACATTATTTGAATATAAACTATCAGGCAGGAAAATAATCTTTTTCTTTCTGTTTTTCCTCTGCTTAGTCCATTACCTGTCTTACATCCTTCACCACCACAGAAATAATTTTATACTGATCTTGAGATCAAAGACAGAAAAGTGAGCTAGCATTGAAATGAAAAGTTTGAAATGAAAAGTTTGTTACTATTTTATCTTTAGGAAGAAGAGTTTCACAGATTGTCCAAAGCATATATACAGGACTATAGTGGACATCTGACAACTAGCAGGGAAAAAAAATTGTAGTTAGATGAAGAGAAATGGTTCATTAAACTTATCTGTAGTTGATCTCTTCTCTCTTTCCCCAGGCTGTGGCGGAGATGAGCTATTGAACTTTGCATTAGAAGATGAACAAAGTTCTCAGCCAGTATGATACAGACAACATACAACCATCTATTGAGCAATGCATTCTGCACGTACTGACAGAGAGAGCATCCAAATTGTTTCAGAGAGAATTTTAAAGCTGTATTGCATATTGTTATCTTGTCTCTTCATTGCATTTATGCTGTAGGTATGTGAATCAACGTTAAAAGAAGCAAGGCTCATCTCTAAGCCAATCACCCCCACTCACGGGTGAACAGTGTCCAAAGCGTAATTTTATGTACCTTTTTCACACTTCCACACAGTCCTTTGGTAAAGACCATTTCTCCTAATCAAAGAAACCAAAAAAACTCTGTTAAGCTAGAATTGACTTCATTTCCCTTAACAAATTATTTTACATAAACTATAAATATTTTTTTTTCACTTAAGGAAACAGAAAATCTGTTGAGTTAAAAGTGGGGAAAAATGTGAGGAAAAAAAGGATCAAAGAAAGACAAGAAATCAGATATTATGAAAAGATAAGTAAAAAAATAAGAATAAGATAAAACAAGGACATTGAAAAATTCACTGAAGAAATAAAACAAGATAAAGAAGAAAACTGGAAAGTTCAACAGGAAAAAGATGCAGCTGTCAAAGCTGCTTCATGAAGCTATCAGAGACAATTTTTTTTCCTAAGATTTACAAGCGTGTGTGAAAAAGCCACAAGCAGTACAATTCCTGTAGTGTAAGAGTATACTGAGTACAAGAAAGCCAGTTTACATAGTTCAATAGGAACAAAGATAAGGAAAAAATTAACTGAAAAGAAAAATAATGAAAAGAAATTCCACGTAAAATATGTGAATCTGTGATCCGGCATGCTGAGATTGCCAAGAGAAGTGAAAATGTAGCATTTAATCCCCTTTTTACCATCTATACCAGAGACGCTTTTTCTTTTGGGGCTTTCTAAAACAAAATATAACAACACTCCAGACAAATCCTTCCGTTTAGAAAGCAAGTTGTCCTTCTGGAAAGTAAATTA